AGAACAAACACTTCCCGCTAGCTTGGGAAAGATTGCTTCTTTATCGCCCCGCTGGCGGAGGCAGGGGTCCGATCCCTCCATCCCATTCCTTCAGGAAGGGCTCTGTGTGTCTATAGAAAAAGTAGAGCATGAATTCATCCTGATGGGTTCAGACGTAAATGGTCAAACTCTAACTATTGTTTAACTGCTAATGGGGGGGACCAAGCGTGTGGAATCTAAAGATGCAATGATAAAAATACCCTTATTTTTTAGTTGTTTTTGGGATGTGGGCTGCTCGAGATACTCTCTTTAAAAATCAAATTTCGAAGTACATTGAGGTTAATTATACGATGGGTAACCAAGAGGAACAGTTGTAGCTAACCTTTAAATATAAATGTAATAAGGTGCCTGCAAATCTGAAACAAATATTTACTCCAGGTGTCCAGACTTAATGGACAAAAGCATAATTGCTTTTTAAGGAGAATATTTTATTTGTTAGTCACTGAGGATTATTTTGTGATGGAATAGTCTCTCTTCCTTTCTTACTTTATTTTTTCTTTTGGCAGGCGGTATGTTTTGTTGCATTCTTTTTTCTTTTTTTTCCCCCTTTTTTTTCCTAAATCTACTGTACATACAGATCACAAACCCTGAACAAAGAAGAATTACAAACCCAGCTGAGATAAACATGTCAGAATTACTGTTAAGAGGCTGATGCCCAGAATGTTTAATGGCTTGAAAAGTTGATCAAGCATTTATGAAACTACCCCTTCAAAAATTATCATTGAGCCAATGATAATCCAGTTATAATAATGAGCACTGAGTCAATTAAGCTTAGCATGCAGAAAAACTAGTTGTTGTTATTACATAACTCGTTCTCTTCCATCTTTAAAAAAATAAAATTGCAATTATGAAACCAACTATCTTACTGAAAAGCCAGAACATTCAGGTTAGAAGCCTATATAAAAAGCTACGTCCAGCACAGCATGTCTAACTTGTAGGGTATAATTCCATCAGGATTTGAGATTCTCCTTTGAGATGTTGTGAATCCCCATTCTCTCATGGTTTTACAGTGTGTGGTAATTTTCAGAATCCAGAATCCAGCTGTACTATCTTGGGAATTGCTATAGGACACAGAGCTCAGCACACGGTTTTCTGTGCACAACTGATAGCTAGTTAACAGTTGCCTGACCAATTTCAGGTTTTTTCCCTACAACCTCTTCAAAATAGGTTTTGTATCTAGCAGAAGTATCTTGCACATTTTTCTCAACTATTCCTGGAGTCTGAACTCTCTCTAGCACTTGCTAGAACAAACCTAAAAATGCAATGGTAAAAGAATAGTGGTTAGGATTGTTTATATTTGGATTCCATTTGTAATAACATTAGGCAGAAGGAAATTTTTAGACAATTAAGGTCTATATAATCCAGCGCAGTATTACTAAAAACAGAAGGATACAAGACTGGATATAGCTGCAGTAGTGATGTACAGATGAACAAATTGCTAAATAGTGCAGTATCTTCCCCATCACACCGTACACAGCATGCATCCAAGGTTACTGCTTTGAAGGCTACAGCTGTCCCAGTGAGCCCACACCTTGGCAAAGACCCTCTGATTTGCAAAAAAAAGTGAATACCAGATTAAAGTTTGGATCCCAAGCACTTTCTGTACGCTTGCAGTTGAAAAGTTCCCAGCTATGGGGAAAACATAACTAATTTTATCTGGAAGATAAAATAACACTAATAGCAATAAACATGGAATGGTTAATATATTTTCAATCACTTAAAAAAAGCCCTATTTCAGGTTTTAAGGAACCCTAACCACTTAAGACACCCCACCACAACCAAAAATTATTTAGAAATCTTATTCTCATTTATGCAAAATGCTTTGTCTTTGAAAATCCATTTATCTTGATTTAAACAATGACGGTAAAGTCACTTGGATTTACCCAAAGATCAGAACATGAAAAATAATTCTCTAAGCAATAAACTCTGAGGAATGCTTAAAAAGGATAACTCAGTTATGCCACAAGTAGCCTGCATGGTTCCTTTTGGACATTAAATCCTTCCTTGGCTTTGTAAACTTGATGGAGATTTTTTTTCCAGATCAAGAGGTAGAAGGCATTCAAGAATATGAAGAACTGTAACTTAAGAAGGTTTTGAAACTTGGTACTACTGAAGAGCAGTAACCATCATGAGCACAAGAGAACTTACCAAACCTCTGGAGAGTTTGCATGAGAATCTGTTATGGGGGTTAATAACCTGTGGTGTAGTGCAAACATGGAGGGAGAAAGCTGGTTCATTTATCTTTGAGGGATAGAGAAAAGAGGATCTTCATTCATTTCAGTGTTATAGGTTAAAAATCCTGTTTGAAAAAGAGTATCTGAAGATAATTCTGGCCATCAGAGCCTGAAAGGACCCTTTTATCTCATTACTGCCTCCAGAGGGACTACAAATTATCCTTTCCAGTAACCTCCCAGCAGCTGATTATTTCACCTGATTATTACTTTGGGGGGTCAAAGAACTAGCCTCTACTTTTTATCTAATATCTCTTATGGTATGGACAATTCAGATGTTCTCATTTCTCCTTTTTGAGAAGTGTGTCTATTTTATTGCACTTGTCAGGCATCTCTTTGGTGTAATGTTGGCAATGGGCTTGTCTACTAAGCCCATTAAGAAAAATATCCCAATCACAAGATTATCCCTACACAGTTATACACCTGTCCATATTACATGTATTTTAAGAACTATGGCTTCAATCCAGAAGAAAAAGTCCATCTTGCCTTGAGCTATGCTAAACTTTCCTCTGTTAAAAGTTTCTCTAACATATATTGAAAAATTTAAGACAAGTCCCTGCAACTTTGCAAGTAGGGCAGACAGTCACGACTTTGGTTTGTTTGACTATAAATTGCTGAAACAATGCAACTTAAAAACAATACAGTAGTACTGTATGACACTGTCAATATCATTTATAGCACAATTTTACACAAAGGCAGGAGTATCATAAAAAAAGAAGTAAGTCCTATCAGGTGCCCTAAAATACCTTATGTCATAAATAAGTCAGATTTCTTAGAGGAAAG